TGTTTTTATATTCTGGTTCTGCTTACATTGCAGTGTCCATATAATCTGTAAAACTCCCTGCATGAATTATAATACAGCTATTTTCATGCATAAATGAAGTGGAACACTATGGGGATAGCCGTACTGCTCTATTTTTGAAAGCAAAATCTGTTGGGCTCTTTTTTGGCATCAATATAATTATTCTTATTGCTGCATCGCCAGAAAGGAAAAAAAAAGATTACTACTTGTTATTAGGCCAATTGCCAATGATTTCATAACGAACACAATTAGTTATGAAATGCAGTTAGTCCCAACATAGCTCTGCATCGCCCTGAGAAATGAACTGTTTTGATGGTTTATACTGTAGATTACAGCCTCAGGCTGCTGCAGGAATTCACCCATGACTGAATGCAAAATGTGAATAAAGGTATTCAAATGTCAGTCAGTAAATATGAACAAGTTTTGAAATGCCTTCCATGTCCTGAACTCTGAGGTCTTCAGGCCTTACAGCGTCCTTACATCTTCTAAGTCTTTGCATATGACTAGGTTTTGATTCCCTAAATATCACTAAATAACTTAGATCATCTCAGAAAGTTTGAATTTTTTCATCCAGAATGTGATTTAGTCCCATGACTGTTACAAAATAAGATGCATTCAGCTGAATGCCCCATTGTTCCCGTTTGTGGAGTAATAAAGGAGTAATGCAGATGTTGATTTTAACTCAGGGAGTGCGTTAAAAAATTCCTGTGAATAGATGTGCACTTTGATCCAGATGCCAATGTGAACATGTTCAATCCCCTCCCTCCACTTTGCATTAAAACCATGTTCTGTCTCTTCAGGTTTCTTCCTGTTCAAACACCTGCAGGCCTGTTGACATGCAGCCAGCTGTGCCCTGAAAAGCTCTCAGACTGCAGGAGGCTCATATTGACAGAATGTTTGACAGTGTCTTTATCCTGCTGGGATTATCTCACTGGTTCAACAACTTCACTGCATTATATGAATTTGATTGGTTATAGATTAACAAACTAGAATTCAAAGCCTGTTTTTCCAATTCTCTGATAAAGTCCTTCAGAAGAGGCGATGACTGATGCGAGACGCTGCTTCATGGTCCCATAAATCTCTACTACAGCAGCAGGTGAATAACATGTTTATGCCTGAGCCAGGCTCGGGAAAACTGCCAAAATCTTCCCTGTAAGGTTTCAGAAGTATTTCCAGTGAAAATCATCAGGAGGAGGGAAGTGTTTATTTATTTATTTTTTTTATATAAAAGGAGTATCCAACTTCCCCATCCTGTAGACACAGAACATCTACTTGAACTCCAGCAGAGCTCTTCTGTCCTTATCTCTAGAGTCAGTCAGGTAAAGTCTCTCGTCTTTAATTTCACTGTTTTCTTTTTACCTAATTTCCAGAGACAGCTCTTGATTACATTCATCTTTTCTGTACAAATTTTCAAAAATAGATCAAATGATGAGAAAGTAGATGCTGTGATGTCAACCGAATTTGTAACATGAGTATGATAGGATAACCTGCGAATGACTGACTTATTGGGTTTTAAATTCCCTGCAGTGAAGGTAACTAATCTGTCCATTGATCATGAGAAATGATGTGAGCTTGGCTTTAATCCATGGTTTCCACACAGAAAGCAGCGATGCTTTCTAGAACACCTCCCTGGAAGACATCATGAGCAGCTGACATCTCTGTCACTATTTTCTTGTATTTTCTTGAATTCATGAAGATCACTCTTTTCAAGATCGTAGAGCCTATTTTCTGTGTTTAGTTGGGTTCTTTCATGTGATTTCCTGATGCTATGCGTCTGGTAGCACTGGGCGTGGCGGGTGGACCGGACCAAACAAGCCGTGGTTTGTTACGATGGTGTTAATAATGAACAATGTTCTCTGCAAATCTACATAGAAGAACAGTAGAGTCAATAGAAGGGCTTCAACTGTTGGTTTAACCAGACATGATGGAAAAATAACAGTTGTCTGTGAACCTCTTGCAGTTAAACTCCGCCATGTCTGCTCGCGGCGTGTGTCAGAACATCATAAATGCTCGGCAAAAGGGAGACGGTCATGGGACCTTAAAAAACCCAGAGAACTTTTTACAGCAGAACTACCAGGAGCTGAAGGAGTACTGTCTGATCCGAAACATCAGATACATCGATGAACACTTTCCCCCAGACAACAGCTCAATCGGGGTGGGGAAGCTAGACCCAGCTGACCTGGCCCAAGTGGAGTGGCTGAGACCGTCGGTGAGAACCAGATCAAATGTTCCTGTTTACATTGCATCAGAGTCACTCCTGCATATCACTTAAAAATTAAGAATAAAGAACAGCTAAAAGGCAGAGTTATGTTTTTCTAAAAACTGACAAATTTGTTTAGAAAGAAGGCCTGAGCTGTGATATTCGGTTAGTTTTAGTCCTTTGCTGCTGAAATAAACTTCCCTACTTTGAAACAAATGAAGGCATAATGTCATTTCTTTCAGAAAATTGTACCCAATCCATTCTTTGTGCTTGATGGTGTCTCCAGGTTTGACTTTGGTCAAGGAAAAGTTGGTAAGTAAGTCTGTTTAGAGCAGATCCTCTCTGCCCTCTCATTCATTCATTCAATCATGTTCTTCTCTCAGGAAACTGCTGGTTTCTAGCATCTCTTGGAGCGCTGACGTTCCACAAAGACATCTTCAAGATGGTTGTTCCTCTGGACCAGACATGCTTTGGAAAGGACTACTGTGGACTGTTTCATTTCAGGGTAAAAGCAATTCCTCTTCTTTCTTCTTAATTAAAACCGAAACTGCTTATCTGCAATAAGACAGAACTTCTGGTGTCACTAACTGCTCTTTCTCGTTAACCATGCAGTTCTGGAGGTTTGGGAAATGGGTTGACGTGGTGATTGATGACAAGCTGCCTACAATTAAAGGGAAAACCATCTTTGCTAGTTCCAAAGATGAGTGTGAGTTCTGGCCCGCCTTGCTTGAGAAGGCCTATGCCAAGTATGTAAAAAATTTTAATTAATTGCCATGACATAAGAAACTGCATATTTTTATGAAAAACGTACTATTATAACTGAATATGTCAGGGTCTGTGGATCCTATGCGGACATGAGTTGTGGGACCCCTGCAGAGGCCATGAGGGACTTCACCGGCGGTGTCCACATGTGTATCCCACTGTCAGAGCCTTCTCCGGATCTCTGGAAGCTGTTGTGCAGAGCGGCACGCTTCAACACATGCATGAGCTGCAGCAGCAGACCGAAAGGGGTAAAGTAAAGTTTGCACAAAGATACACATTACGGGTCAAACATGTAGAATAGAATACCAGCAGTCTGCCAAAACTCCAATACTGAGGACAATAATAAACACAGATGTTGAGAATCTGTTAAAATATTCAAAATGTTGATGTTTAATTGTCATGTTTCTCAGTGGAAGTCTGTCCAATCAAGGCAACGATGCAACTATAAAATACTTCAAGGAATAATGATTGAACCATCAATAACGAATCAGAACCATGTGTTACCTCACAGGCGCTACTTTACAGGAATTGCTGCACACACGCTAACTATTGACGCTACCTTACAGGAGTTACTTTACAGGCATTGCTGCACACACGCTAACTATTGACGCTACCTTACAGGA